AAATATTGTAACTTTCTTTTTAGGCTTTTTTATCATTTTTTTATTTATTTTTTTATATTTTATTTATTATTTTATTATTATTTATTATTATTTCTATTTAAAAAAATAAATAAAATCAAAATTATATATACTTTTTTTTGATTAATTAAAATTATATAACAATGTTATAAGGTTATAAATGTTTATAAATAACAAATGACAAATTATATATGTCATATAGGTCATATGATATCATATACCAATACTATATAATCATTCATATTTCTTAATTGTTAAATATATTAAAAAGTATGCAATTTCAGTTAATTTAACTACTAATTTCTGGATTTCTTAAAATCATTAAAGATAGAGTTAGAGCTCTGAATAGATCAGATCAGGTCAGGTTATAGGTCAGGTTTAGATTATATTTAAAAAATTGAAAAATTATTATTTTAAGGTATCTTAATATTTAATAACTTAAAATAAATTAAATATAGCTTAGCAGATTCATTTCTTTGTAATAAATTAAATAATAGTTATTATAACTTACACAGATTAATATTGATGAAATTATGTTATATTTTGTATTTATATATAAATCTATAATACGTGTTCTAAAATTTTATATAGTAAAATTAAACGAGTGATAACCACTGATTCAAAATAAATTAAATATAGCTTATTTAACACATAATATAGCACATTTTAATAATACATTATTTGAAATATTAGATCTATAGATATTAAAAGAAAAAGTTAATACAATTACAACTAATATTATCTAAATATGAAAAAATAATAAAAGATATAAATATATTCTTTAAAAATATAATCTGATATACTATTTAAACAAAATAACAGATCTCATATTTTAATTTAATTTTCAAAACTATATATAATAATTTGAGCTGAAAATTTAGCACATCGTAGTTTTGTTTTATATAAATAATGATATAATCATTACTTTATTTATAAATAAATTTCAAATGTAATTGACAAAATAAGATTTTGTACTACTTTATATTATATCTGATTTAACTAAAGTTGAACACAACTAAATTATTAGCCTTTTTAAGGGTAGTGTCACAAAAATATATACAGAGAGTAAACAAAGTATCTGCACACCTTTTCACTTAATATAAAATTTTAAATATTTTTATATTAACAATAAAAGAACAATTATTATTTTATTTAAATCTGATTAAGGTTTAAATTTTGTACTAAGTAGCTAATACTTAGTTAGATCACCATTTGCTACAATTATGACTTAAATTTATTATAGCAATTAGGTTTTTGATAGTATGCTTCAGAATTTCTTTTCATGCCTTTTTAATATATCGAACAGATAAGGTTTTTTATAAGCTCAGATGGTTTTTTTGACTTTAGTCTAAAATTTTCAATCATATTAAAATTAGAATTTTAAGCTAACTAAGATAATATATGAAGATTATTTTCTACTTAAAAAGACATTGCAACCTTTAATTTATGAGACTAAGTATTATCTTTTTGAAACCAGCTATCATAATTTGAAAAAGATTTTTTTATGACTGGAATAACATATTTACAAAGAATGATAATATGTGAATTACCAATTGCTATTTTAGACAATGGAACAATTGATCTCATATATTTTCTTGAAAAGTAATTCTAGTACATTTGACTAAGGTTATATTTTACTATAGCTATAATATAGGATAAAGTCTATTCATCCTTCAGTTTACGCTAAACTTTACTAGAATGAATTTGTTGAAATTGAGAGAATGTGAATTTATTACTTTATAAAACTTTTGATTAATTTATTTTAGTTCAGCTTTGATATTTTAAGATGCATCTCAATATTTGCTAGTGAAATTAATATTTTTTCTTGCAACACAATTTTTTAATTCAGCTGAATGGAAGATTTGTCTAATCGTCTTGATTAAAATATCTTACTCAGTCTTTTTCTTTTAAAGCTATTGTATTCTAGCTATATATAGATTATGATTTTTAGTTTATCATTCATCACAATTCATTTAAGGTGATTTTGTTATAGAATTAAAATTAAAGGTAAACATTCAAAATGATACATCGATTCAGTTAATCCAATATTATGATATTAAATAATAATAGTATTAGCAATAGTCTGATAACTATCATCACGTTGATAGCAATAAATTATGGCTTCACATTATTCTGCAGTTAATTCTTTAATTTTTAATATTTTTTTATTTAGAATTTCAAAGAAGAAAATTTATTAAAAAAAATTAAATTGTTATTTTTTATATTTATAATATAAATAAATACTATAATGTCATAGGATCACAATTTGTTATTACAGTCATATAACTTTTCTAGTATTAATACATGTTTATAGAGGATGTACAGATACTTTTGTCTACCTTCTATATTATTATACTCAACTTTTCTAAGACAATAGTTCTATGAACTATTTAAGCCTTTTGTGAAGGAAAAAGTCTTAAAACTTAGTCACAAAGTGGTCGTTTAAGACTTTTAAATGATAAAAATCAAAAAACACTAAAAAAATTGTTAAAGTTAATAATTATTAATTAGTTAAACAAATAAAGAACGAATTTTAAAAGAAAATTAAAAAGCAAGTTTTTACTAAGACTATAAGAAGAAATTTACATAAGCTTAATATTTTTCCCATATTTTAGCATGCAAATCTCTTCTTAGTGATAAACAAAGAGAAAATTATTTAAATTAATATATTAAAAAAAAAGACTGGTCTGTTAGAAAATAGAAGTCAGTCATTTGAATGATAAGAGTCACTTTATAATATTTAAAAATGATGATTTAGATCATATTTGAAGAACTTCTAGAATAAGATTTAATATTAAAAATATAGTTCTTTATATAAAGTATAGTGATAGAGATATAATAATATAGGATTATTTTTCAGAAAAAGGATTCAGATCACTAGTAAAAGTCAATGAAAAAATAAATTATCATGATTATATTCAAATACTTGAATCATATTTACTTTCATTAATTAATAATAATTTAAATAAAAATATTATTTATTTTAAGATGATAATACTTTAATTCATATTGCTAAAAATGTTAAAAAATGAATTAAAACAAAAAAAATAAAAATTTTGAAAAATTAACTAAGTCAATCATCTGACTTGAATCCTATTGAACATTTATGATTAAAGTTGAAAAAATGCATCAGAGAACGTCTAAAATCTGTAAAAATATGAAGGAAATAGTGTGTATTTTGCATGAAGAATTCAGATAGAAACATGTATTAAAAATAATAGTTAGCTGATTAAAAATTAGTTTATATATAATTAAACTAATAATAGTTTAAATTATAATTCTAATTATTATATACATTTTTGAATAATTAATAAAAATATAAGGTTTGCTACTTTTATTTAAGTAATGTAACTTTATACTACTTATATCTTCTTCTGAGATTTCCTCACTTGTAGATAAATATTTTATTTCGCTTTCATTTGCTTCATCCATTTGAATATCAATTTCATTTATATTATCTAAATATTCCTTTAAATTTTATTAATTAATATTATATAATAAATAAAAATAAAATATTAAGTAAATTATAATTTATAATACTTATCATTATTTTTTAAATTTAAATTTATATCTTTTTCTTTAACATTTTCTTCTTATTTACTATTACTTGATTCCTCTTCTATTGATATCTGATTTCTTTTCTGATATTTATAATAAATATATTTTATTACAAAATTACTATTTGAATAATTTTTTAAACAAAATAAACATTTGTATAAATGTAATTTCGCTCATTTTATAATAAAATTAATTAAAAATTAAAAATGTTTTGCAATTAAGAATTAAAAAATTAAAAAATGTTTTGCAATTAAGAATAAAAAATGTATAAGCAATAAATTATAAGATATATATACAAAAATTACTTCTTTTATTTTATTTTTAAATATATTCTTTATAGATTTATGGCTTTTTGATAAAAGAAAACTTTTTATTTGATTTTTCAGTTGATTATTTAATTATTTTTTTGCCAATTAATCCGTTATTTTTCAACCATTTTATGTATACAATTTTCTAAATTAAGATTTAAATTTTTATTGCAAACTAATTTATGCATAAATTATAAAGTATATTTAATTTATACAAGTTAATATATAAAATTTTTTTATTTTTACCCAATATATTTTTCTTTATATTAAAACTTTTTGCTTAATTTTACTTTATATATCAAAAAATAGTAAAATAAAATTTTCATTTAAAATATTAATTTTACGAGTTTAGTTATAACAAATTAGTAAAATAATTTCATTTAAAATATTAATATTTATACAAGTTTAGTTTTTCAAAATTCAAAAATATATATATATAATTATTTATCAAAAAATAAAATTTTTTTTAAAACCCATAAAAAAAATGTATTTAGAAAAAAAGATCCTCCTATCAAAAAATTTATTAGAAAAAAAATTTTTTTGACATTCCTATCAAAAAAATTTATATATTGAATATTATTTAAAAAAAAAAAAATTAATCTAGCAGCACATAAAATAAAAAATTAAGTTGTGGAATATTGATAGTATAGTCAGACCTGTCTATAATCACCACTTTTGGTTTTTAAAAATTATGTGATTATAAATAGGGGTGATTATATACAGTAAACTATATATAATCACCTGCGGTATAAATATTATATTATGGTGATTATAAATAGTGAAACCTATATATAATCACCTGCGGTATAAATACTATATTATGGTGATTATAAATAGTGAAACCTATATATAATCACCTGCGGTATAAATACTATATTATGGTGATTATAAATAGTGAAACCTATATATAATCACCTGCGGTATAAACACTATATTATGGTGATTATAAATAGGTTAAAAAAATTTATTTTATATAATTTATTTATATTAATTTTTATTATTTAATTTATTTATTTAATGAGAAAAAAATATTAATTATATAATTTTAATATTAATAATTATAGCGATAGTAAAAAAAAATATTAAATTGTTCATTACTTTATTAATATAAAAAAATTATTCTGCTATACTATAAAAGGTATTAATAGAAGTTTGTTTTTTGTCTTCTATTAATTTAAGATTCATTAATTTCAAATATTTTCTAAAAACTTTTAAATCTTCACAATTATAATTAGAATTATCTGATTGTTGAGAAAAAAAAGTTATAAATTTTTTTAAACCTTGTGCTGCTTCTTTAACATTAATTAATTCTAATTCTGATTCACTATCAGATATAATTTCTTCATTAGGATTTCTAGTTATAAATTCAATAATTTGTTTATCATTCAAAAATTCTTCCGTTGGTAATTCCTCTAATTGTTTTGTATATTGTTGAATTGTATCCAAAAATGGCGCAGGTAAATTATCAAGAAGATCTTCAATATCTTCAAGTTCGATATCAAATTCTATATCAATTTGATCAGATGAAACTTCTCTTTGAATATAATTTATAGATGGTAAAATTCCTGTTTTAATCCAACAATTTGAAATTGTATTTTGCGATACATCTATCCAAGCTTCTGATATATAATTAATTGCTTCTAATAAATTCAATTTATTTCTAAATAAATAAATATAAATTAATTAAATATAATTATTTAAAAATTTAATTAATATAAAAAAATTTATATTTACTCTTTTATATCTTCATTATTATCAAATTGTTTTATTAAATGTCGACAATAATTTTGTTTATATTTAACCTTTAATTTAAAAAAAATAAATAAATTTAAAAAAATTAATATTTAAATAATTTAATTAAAATCAAAACTTTATTATTTACCTTAAAGTTATTAATTATACCCGCATCTAATGGTTGCAGATGAGAAGTAGTATTAGGTGGGAGAAATTTAAGAGTAATATTTGTAAGATTTAAGGAATATGATTCTTTTTGTCCTTTAGAAGTTTCGTTATTACGAGGTTCAGAAATCTAAATAATAAAAAATTAATTAATTTTAATTATTTTAATTATTTAAAAATTATTTATTAAAATAAAAATTTTTTAATTATTAACATTTACATCATTTTTTATATGTGAAGATGCGTTATCTAATAGCATTAAAACCTTTCTATTTTGTCGTCGAAATTTAGTATCAAGATTTTTTATCCAATGATAAAAGATATTTTGTGTCATCCATGCTTTTTTACTCCAATTATAAGAAACAGGTAAGTTATTTAAATTAATTCCACGAAAACAACGAGGTTTTTGAGAATTTCCAATAACAAGTGGTTCCAATTTTTCGGTTCCATTAGCATTACATGTTAAAAGTACTGTAATTCTATGTTTATCCTATATAAAGTATAATAATATAAGTTTATTTAACAAAAGATTTTAAATTTTATAATAATTTATTTATATATACCTTTTTTGTTCCTGAAACAGGTCCAGTAGCGAGTGTTTGATTAGGAGTCATCCGATAGAAAAGTCCAGTTTCATCACAATTAAACACATCATTTAAATCAAAATTAGAAATTAATTCTTGTAATTCGGCTCTTTTTTCAGGTAAGATAGCTAAAGGAGCATCATTTGCTTCTCCATGTATCTTTTGTTTACTTAAAAAATTTCTAGTTTTAAATCCACCTAACCATCCATTTGAAAATCCAAGTGTATTTTCTGTTATATTTAATTCTTTTGCAAATTCTTTTGCTTTTTCGCGTAAAATATTATCTGATAGAATTAAATTTTTTGATAATGCTTGTTTTACCCAAATAGAAAGGGCCTCTTCAAGTAAAGGACATTTTACTTCACGGTGTTTATAAGTTGGAATTGGAGGATTTGTAATAGCAGAAAGCCATCGTCCTTTATCTTTTAAGATTTTGCTAATGGTTGTTCTTTTAATATCAAAGTTATGAAGTTGGTTAAAGTGTAATGCAATATCTATATGAGATAAGTGTGAATTTTTGGTATGAAATTCACAAATTTCATGCTTTATTTCATCACTAATAGCTGTTCTTTTTTGTTTTTTGTTTTCAGATGTCATTTTATAAAACAAAAGACTTAGAACGCGTCTTAAAAAAATCGCGAAAATCGTTAACGGTAAAAAGGTAAATTTAAAGTTTAATTTATCCATAATTAATCTTAATTAGACAATTAATATCATGCAAGTAAAAGATAATTTCAAAAGGAGTTTTGAAGAAAAAATTTGTTTAAAAAAAAATTAGTTGGAAAATTTTAAAGGAAAAGATATATTTGTGTTATAAAGTAAAGACTGTAATTATTATAATTATATTATGAAATAGACGTTAAAAATAATAAAAAATTTATTTTTCTTATAATTTTAAATTTATTCGAGTGAAAAAAAAACTTTCAAATACAATTTATTTATTATATAGAAATATGATTGAAAATAAGATTTAAACTTGATTTGGAAATTTGGCTTACAATCATATGAATATGCATGTAGTAAATAAAATTGATTTAATTAAAAATGGTTTATCCTTATTCCCCTCTAATCCGAGTCTAACCTACAAAAATAAGAATAGAACGTTAATGCTTATTTTTAAATTTATAGAACCCTCCGAAAGAAAATCACGGAATTTACCATAAAAATAAAATGAACATCCATTTCTAAAAAAAAATTTAAAATTATAAAAAAGAATCGATAATTACCCTAAAGGTCTAAGGATCAAAAGTTTCCAGTACCTACAAAAGAAAAAGGTAAGTTATATTTAGTGATTCACTTAAGTATCTAATATTTTTATAAATATTTACCTTCCCCCTTCATAGGACCCAAGAATTCGGGCACCTACAAATAGGAAAGAGGTAAGTAATAATAATTAATGTTAAATTAATTAATTAAAAAAAAAATACTGACCTTTCCCCTTCATAGGACTCGCTTCCGATCCGATCGATCCAAGGAATCCGGCACCTACAAAAAGGAAAGAGGTAAGTATAATAATTAATTAATTAGTTAAATTAATTAATTAAAAAAAAAACAAAAGAATACTAACCTTCACCCTTTCATAGGACTCGCTTCCGATCGATCGATCCAAGGAATCCGGCACCTACAAAAAGAAAAGAGGTAAGTTATAAATTTTAATTAGTTAAATTAATTAATTAAAAAAAATATATATACTGGCCTTCCCTTCATAGGACTCGCCTCATATCTGATCGATCCAAGGAATCCCAGTACTACAAAAAGGATAAGGTAAGTATTTTATAATTTATTTAATTTTAAAAAAAATATTTATCAATTAATAACTTTACCTTTTCTTCGTAGGACTCATCTCCGAACCGATCGAACCAAGGTTTCCGATACCTACAAAAAGAGAAAGAGGTAAGTAATTATTTAATTTTTTTTAATTAACTAAAAATAAACTAATATTTACCTTTCCCTTTTAGGACTCGCCTCATATCTGATCGATCCAAGGAATCCCAGTACTACAAAAAGGATAAGGTAAGTATTTTATAATTTATTTAATTTTAAAAAAAATATTTATCAATTAATAACTTTACCTTTTCTTCGTAGGACTCATCTCCGAACCGATCGAACCAAGGTTTCCGATACCTACAAAAAGAGAAAGAGGTAAGTAATTATTTAATTTTTTTTAATTAACTAAAAATAAACTAATATTTACCTTTCCCTTTTAGGACTCGCCTTCGATCCGATCGATCTAAGAAATCCAGCACCTACAAAAAGAAAAGAGAGGCAAGTTTTGAAGGGGGAAGGTTAGTATTCTTTTTTTTTTAATTAATTAATTAAATTAATTAATTATTACTTACCTGATTCTAGAATGGGCCTTTGTCATAACACCGAAACTGGGTTTCAGGTTTTGGATACAGTTTTGATTTTGGGTTGAGTTTCGGATTAAAAATAAAATAAAAAAAATAAAAAAAAATGGTTTTCTATTCGAAATCACCGATCATTACCAATATAATAATGTCACGTGAAATGCGATTATAAATAGTTTATTTATTAATTATTCAATATGCAAAAATCTTTTTTCCCGGTGATAGTGATTAACATATAGTTGTGATTATAAAAAGGGTAAATAAATATTATATTTTTGGGACATTAAAATTAAGTGATTATAGACAGGATGTGATTATAAACAGGGTGATTATAGACAGGTCTGACTGTATAAGTAAACTTAAACAGATCTTTTTAATAGTTATTTATAAGTCAAGATTATTATATTTTTTTTATAGAGATCATATAAGAAGATTTAAATTTGAGGGATATATTATTTATTATGATAATAGTATTTTAATATTTATTTATAAGGTATTCATATTAACAATTTATTAGGAAATCTTGTAACTGTGATAATTATAATAGAAGTTAATATATTTAGCAAATTTTGCCTATTTAGATGAATCTATTTTTTTAATATTAAAAACTTAATGATGAAGTTGATGTAATTTTAATTTGACTTGTTATTATTGTTATAGATTGTCAAAGATCATTAATATGATTTTGTAATCAGTAAAAAGTTTAATAAATATAAAAATAATATTAATATAAAAATTTAAATTGTCTTTTTAAAAAGTAAGTGTAGATATATTATAATATATATTATATAGATATAGAAATTAAGATTTAAAATTTTTTCATAAAATTAAATGCTAATATTAGATAATATGGACTTTTTATAATAAAAAAAAAGAAAACTACCAAAAAATTTTTTTGTGTTAATGTTAAATTTGAACATATTTTACTAAAAAAATAATATTTAGCTTATAAAATAAAAAAAAAATTTTTTTGGTAATTTTTTTTCTTTCTATTGTAAAAAGTCCATATTATTATTAACATTATGCTTAAGATCTACATTAAAATCTCTTAAGAAATAATTTTAAATTATTTTTAAGATTATTTTTAATATATGAGAATATTTTCATATAATTTGATATAATTTTTTTTTGGATTGAATATATTGAGAAATATAAAAATATATACTGAAAATTCTTAATTTGAAGTTATCAGATAAATAGAGATCAATATAAATAAAATAATTATTTTATATAAAGGTTTTTTGAAAATAAATTGACTAATATTTTTTGATTAATATACTAATACTTCCAAAATTAACATTGATTTGAAAGCTCTAAAACTTAAAAATTTTAGATCATGTTTGTATTTATAAATTTAGTTGCTTTTGGTGTTATGTTTCAATCAGACTAATAAAGTCAATATTTAAATCAATGAAAATATTATTAATTAATTAGATTTTGAGTTTACATTGTAAGAAATTAACATTATTTGTGATAAATGAAATAGTGAAATTTTCTTTTGAAAATGAATTATTATTGTTATTATAATAATTAATGTTATTATTGATAGAATTAAAATTAGATGTATTAATTATAATGAGAAATATAAAGAAAGGATGAAACAGTTATTTGGGAATTTTTTCAGTTAGAATAATAAGTTGAGTCATTATTTGTTGCATTTGCTCTTTTGATCTATGATAATTTTGCTTTATTTTTCAATGAATTTTCTCATTTTAGAAACATTATCATTAGAAATATTATTGTTATCAGAAGAGAAAACTGTCATTTTAAGGCGTTTCTTGAAGTGAGATAATCTGTTATTATTGTTTGTAAAAGCAGGTAAACCAGTAATTGTAGTATTATTAGTTAGTATAGAAGGAAGTTTAGATTGAAGTTTTTCTAGTTTAGTAATACAAGCATCAAAATCAACCATTGCTTTTTGCATGCCAGTTAATATGCTGAAGATTTGATTTAGTTTAGCATTAGTCTCATCTTATTAGGGTTGTGAATTTAAGAGAGCCACCTGTGAGTGTAATATCTCTGTTTTCCTTTAACTATGTTTGAATAAGATGAGTTTGAAGGAGGGTTTGCATGCTTTTGTGTTGATCATCTCTATTCTTGTTGTTATTTCTAATGATTAAGGAACGAGCGCCAGCAGGTTTGTATCAGTTATAGAAACGTTGAACGGAAGCCAGTTGGATTCTGCTACGTTGTTTTGGTTCAGGTTCTTTGACTTTTTCAATTAAAGAACATTTTATGACCAAATGTTCAGTAGAACATCAGCAGAATACCATTATAATTCATTTCACCAAATGCATACATATGCATTTTAGTAGCATCGTTGAGGGTATGACAGAATCAAAGTAAAAGATAGCAAAAGGTTTGGGTTTGTAATTATTGGAACGGGGGATAAATGTTGTTTTAGCTTTAGTCGCGAAGGCAACGTCATGTTATAATTTGTTGCACTATTGTAACACCATGTATATTATTTTTCATAATATCTTTATGCCGTAATGCCGGCCAATATCACGTGAAGGTGGAACAGAATTACACCTATGGATAGATTTTTAGATTATCTTTACATAACTGGTCTACATTTAATACCTATTTAACATTTTTGATTTTATTGCCAAATTTCATTTACACTTTAAAAAAATTCACAATTTCTATGCACGAGAGATATTCATTTCTCAAAATTGAGTACGATAAAGTTCAAAGTTCATTTCTTATATAGTTTAAAAAAAGATTATTATATAAATAATAATATTATTTACTTTAAAAAGTTTAACGTAATAAAAATATTATCAAAATACAGATATAAATTTTCTCATCAATAACTTTTATTATTGAATTAAATTGAATTGATATTTTCTATTTTTTTTTTTTTTTTTTTCTTTAAAAAAAAATCTGTTTATGGATAACGAAATTCAAAAAGATCAAAAGGTTGAACAAGGAAAAGCTTTAGAAACGGAGGAAATGGTTGTTAAAACTCTACCTGAACTTGCAGATGTTTCCGAAACTATTAAAAGTGATAAGGAGGTAAAACGGGAGGTTGGCATTGTATTGAATGAAGATATAGCTGATAATGATAAAATTGTTAAAGAAATTAAAGAAATGGAAAGTAAAAAAGGATCAGAAGATGTGTCACTTGAGAAACGAGTTATTGAACTTGATAAGAATGAAACTGATCGCGATATTAGAAGAGACGAAAAGAAAAAATTTTCAAAAGAGGCAAATGAATCCATTAGTGAAGAAGCCGACACTAAAGCAATGGTGAATCAAGATGAAGATGATCTAGAAGGTGAGATATATTATTTGGATGATGAAAACGAAAGTCCACCTAAGATATTCATGGTTGTTCTTGATTTTAATCATATAAGCGTTTTTATTTTATTTTATTTTATTTTTTTTTTATTAATCAAGAATCAAACTTTTTTAAAATTTCGATACAGAAGAAAAAGAGTTACTTTCAAGTGATCGAGTACAAACTTTACTTCAAGCTACTTCTTCAACACCATCATCAATAGTTACCGATGTTGTAGAATCTATGACCATGCCTGGATTTAATAATAATGTTGTAAATGCTTTACATATTAGTTTCTGGTTATTGTTTATAGTCCTTATTTTCCTGGCCGTTGTGACAGATCATAATTATATCGTATTGATCAACTTAGGCACCTCGTTTATGTTATACATTGGCGTGATATGGTGAGTGAGTCAATAAATCTTTTGTAATATAATAAGAAACCTTTTGGTGAAATTTATTTTTATTTTGTAGGTTTATTGTATATATTCGTGCATCACAAGTAGAAGAGGCAGCTATGGCCGCAAAGAAGGAAGATTAAAAATCGTCGTTAATCCCAATACAGTTAGTTTATCTTGACATTATTTATAGGTCTTTGTTGCTTTGCTTGATTTATAAAATGTTCGAAACATTTATTGAAGTTTTAGTCGTTTTGAAAAAGGAAAAAAAAGTTACACGAAAAATAAACAATAATAATCGAGATATTTTTAAACTTTAACGAAAACAGGTTTTTAGGTAGAATCCTTTGAAGCGTTGTACTTCATTAATATACAGTATGTACACCAAAAACTAGTTGGTGGCAATATTTTTTCATGTGAAGACCTACAATCTAAATCACCATATAAAATTAGAACGCGTTGAGCATTAATAATCTAACACATTAAAATTTTTTTGAACGAGAGTAAAAAATTTCTTTTTTCTGATTTTTCCTTTGTTTTCTTTGTCAGATTGTATGAGCCTCATGATAATCCGTTGTTTAATGATTTAGGTGTCACATCTTTGTACTTTTCAAACATTTATGGGTTAGTTGTAATGATCCGATCCATCCGATGTCCCGATCTGGGGTCGAAATTAAAAAAAGTGTTTTACGCTGATCTGATCCAGTAAAGAACTTGATTATAAATCCGTTATTGTAAAAAATCATACGACGAAGCCATTCTTGGTTTAAGTAAATGAAATGTTGAAATGTTTAATTTTAGAATATTTTCTTTTTTTTTGGAAATTTATAACTTTTAATGCCTTTATTTTTAGATTCCTTTCGCATAAATGAATTATTAGAATGAATCGTTGAAAAATGCTTGCTGAAACAAATCCTTTCCTTTCTCCTCCAAGTAAGGTTTAATGTTATTATTTTATTGTGCATACAATAATTTGCATATTCACATGTCCGTTATCTTATTTAGCCGACTATGTATGTATGGGTTTACATAATTCAAAATAATCAACTTAAATAAATTGAGTCGATACAAGTTTTAACAATTTCCTAAAATGTCCGGATGTCCGTCCGTTTTGAAGGATGAGTCGATCCAAAGGTAAATTATTCACATTATATTATATAAATTAATTGAATAAAAAAATTATTCTAAAAAAAAAAAAAAAATCATGTTTATATAATTTAAATACATTAGTTTAGAGAAATATATATAGATAGATATAGAATACCTGTCCCAAACTTCAGTTGTTGTGTACATATTTTTATATATTTACAACATTGTGGTTTCTAATCGGAATAAGAAACTATGGCAATTTTGACAGACGAACTTATTTTGAATAAATCGAGTGCAAAATCTGTTGTTGAAGTGCGCAACTTAAATCTTTGGGTACCTCATTTTTATTTTTATTTTTATTTTTATTTTATTTTTATAATATTAAGTTTATGATTAAAACAAATAACCTACTTAATTTTTTAGGGTTGTGAACTAGATGACGTTAGTGTATTAAAAAATTGTAGTAGCTTAGAGATACTGAGTTTGAGGTAGAAATAATGATACTACTGTTGGATTTGTCGTTTATTATTAAATCAAGTTTCAAAAATCACCGAGTTATATATTTTTCTTTTATTATATAGTGTAAATAACCTCACTTCTCTGGAACAACTTTCGGAATGTGAGTCAGCTTTATAATTTCTAATGGTATCTGGTTAATTGTAAATTTTCAACATTTGCCGTTAATTCATATTTCGTTGGACTTTTTAATAATTTAAAATGAAGGCAAAACTCTAAAAGGTATGTACATCAATGTTGTGGAAAAGATTCATTATTTCTTTTTAAATATTGAAATTTTTTTTTTTTAAAAAAAAAAAAAAAATTATAGAACTTTATTTACGGAAAAATTATATCAATGACTCTGAACAAGTAAAACACCTTACTTCATTAAGAAATTTAGAGGTACTTTGGTTATGTGATAATCCATGTGCCGAGGATGAAAAGAAATATCGAAATATAGTTCTGAGGTATTTGCCTTGGTTAAAAAAATTAGACCATCACGGTAGGCCGAAAAGAAAAAAAAAAAATTATATAATGGTTAATTAGAACTAACATAAATTTTGTCATGATTTAGAGGTTACTGATGAAGAAGTCCTTGCTTCTATGTGTAGTGTGAGTTTTTTGAATAAATTTTTAATAAGGTCTTTCGCTACAATTTATCATATCGTTATGTTGTGTTTGTTTGCTTTTATAATAACTTTAAAAGTAATTTTTTTTATCTTATAGTTACCAGCTTCAATGCCTAATAAAGTTCGTAAAAGATTGAATCCTAGTAAAATGTCTTCAAATAATGAAGGATCGGATGGAATTGATTCCTTATCAAGATCTCCAGAAATTAAGACACCCAAACCCATTAGAGCAAATTCGAATGGCCTTTTATCTTCCCATGGTATTGAACAAAGTAGCCCACGGGTACGTTCACCTGCTATAAATTCAAATCGAACACCATCACGTACACCTACTCCTTCACAAGAAAGTGGTGTCAAGTTGGTAAAATCAAGGTCAAATAATGGAACCTCAAAGACGATCGGAAATGGTAATTTTCAACCAAAGTTATCCGGCAAGTCATTATCTGCCCCTTTGAGCAGAACTCAATCTCGAACTCCACCAAATAATAATATTAACGAGGATGTCACATCACGACAGGTAATTATAGTTTCATTCGTTACAAAGTCTTCTCGATATCTTTTTTTTTTTTCTTTTAAAAAAAAAAAAGTTAATGATTTTCCCATCATCTTTTTTTTTTAAAAAAAATCAGTCGAATGTGCTCACTGCTGTTCTTGCGTTGATCGAAGAACTTGAAGAAAAAGATTTGCATGCTGTGCAAAGAAAATTACAATTGACCATGTTAAATCGGTGCGGAAAACCCGGAAAAAAATAATTCATAATACATTTATAATAGATCCACTATAATAATTAATAATCATTAATATATTAATTAGTCATAATTTTTTTATCAACTTAATTAAAATACATTACATTTAATAATATTATTTACATTACTTATACTGAATTAACATTATCAAAAAATAATAATTATTATAGAATAAATATAATTTAGAATAACAGAAAATTTTAATTTCTTAATAAAATATTTTTCTACATTTATTATCTAAATCATTTCAATAAAAAAAAAATAGATATACGTTCTAAAGAATCCAAAATCTGATACGATTTGAAATCATATAGCAAAATATATAAATTTGTGATCTATTTGGAAGTAAAAAAAATAGGATAGTAATAATAATAATAAAAATCGTCAGAGTAAATATTAAACAAAGAGAAAAAGGTTCTTCAAAAAAATACAAATATACAAATAAAAGCTACTATACACTATACATCAAAAACAAAAAAAAAAAAAGATTCAAATAATGATCTCCTTCCTTATATTTTTAAAAAATTCGTTCTATCCCTACTAATTCCCCAATAATGTTCTAATGTTTTTTTTTTTTAAAAAAAATAATAATATAATATTATGCCCCAATTCTCACTCTATCCGACCTTCTAAAAAAAAGTTGACAAATTTATCTAATAATTTGTAGTTGTAGGGGCTATCTTGGATTGAATCAAGAAAACATTTGGAACTCCGATCTCAGGCTATATAAAAAAAAATTTGAAATTATAAATCATTTTCAAAAAAAAAAAAAAAAAAAAAAAATAAGAAAATCCTTAAAAAATTTACTCACTTGATCATCTAAACTTCGAGCCAATACATTCAACGTAACGACATCGCTTTGATTTTCATCATCATTTTCATCATAATCATATTCTTCATTGTCTGTAATTTGAAAAGAATCCGACATTTCTACATCATCATCTTGAAATCCATCGATTTGAGATACATCATCTGATTGCTGCTGATTTTGCAGTTGTAAAGTATTTTGTTGCTGCAAAAGGTTATTCAAAGATTGTTTGTCACCAACTTTCTTTTGCTTACCAATCCTACACTGATAGAACCCACATTTCTCTGACCAGCCATTTCTACAAATCCAACAAAATCTATATCCACAATGCAAACAATCAACTTTATTGCATCCATCATCACGATTAATTAAAATTGAACAATTTGGGCAAGATTTTGAATTTGCCAGCTTCCATTTAGTATTTTCGAGTGCGTCCATCATATCATTACCATCAATACGCGGTAAAAGTTGGTTCGTAATAAACAAATGTGGATTTTCCACCTTATGACGCATGTATTGAATACATGTCATTCCAGGATGATGTGTTGAATCCCCACATTGAAGACAAATATCACTCTTACATTTAGTGCTATATTAAAATTGAAAATTGAAATGATTAATCTAAAATAGTCTTTTTTTTAAAAAAAAAAAAAAAAAATTTGAATCACTTACCAACGAGATTGTGGGAAGTTAGAAACGTGCATAAATTGCAATTCTTTCCATGCTTCCGGGCGATATTCCAATGCAACGATTTTCGAAGAGATTTCTGCCGCAGCTATTACCATATCAGTATGCGTTTTTAACTTACGACGCGAAAGTTTTGAAGCTCGTTTATTGGTTACATCCAAACTGTTAATTGATAAAAAATTTTATTTTTATTATTAAAAACCCTTTGATCTGTCCCTGTTTGATAATGCAATGCTTTACCTCAGGCCGAGAGATTTTCCAATTTTTTTTGTGATGTATTCATACATTTCTGCGACTCCGGTATCGGTATTTTCTCCGGAAATGTAAATTAAGTAATCAGTTTCAAATTTAGCGATAAAATTATTTATATCATTCTTATTGACTGGATTTTTTCCTTTAGAATTCTTGACAGTTCCATAATTTTCCAAAAATTTACGGAGGAGGTTGGAAATATCTTTAAAATATCTTAAAAAAGATATAAAAAAAAAAAAAAAAAAAATTATTTTTCCAATTTTTATAAATATAAATATTTGTCAATGAATTCTCTTCAGCGTGGACTTACTTTCTTTTTTCCTCGGAACAAATTTGAAATACTTGAGCAGCAAAAACCTCTTCGCCACATTCAGCACAACAACGAGAGAATGACCGATACGGTTTATTGTATGTATTATAGAGGTCAACCGTATTTTGATCTACGTACTATGAAATTATTAAATATTTAATAAAAAAAAAATTTTATTATTTTTTTTTTTTTTATTTTTTTTTGTTACCTTGCTCCACTCGGATTGGGACACAACTTCCTGACATACAGGACATTTTATTTTAGTGATACTAAGACCCCAAGAACTATGAACAACTTCTTTCACATATCTAGACATATTTAAGAGTTGTTAAAATTATAATAAATCCTCATGGGATTTTTTTTCTTTTTTAATATATCACCTTTGAAAACATTCTCTACAGAATTGGTCACGACAAATGTCTAAACAAAAATCCAATTGAGCATCAAAGCATATAGAGCACCTTTGCAACCAATACTCTATATCTTGAGCAGAAGTTATATCTTCGCCATTATCTCCTCTCTGAGAAGAGGAGGAGGAAGAGGAACCCGAACTGCTTGTGGACGACAGGTTGAAAAGTGTTGAACGAGATTTGTTGGAAGTTAAGCTATTACTTATAGCAGCTGTTTTAGAAGCGAAGAATTGTAAGGAACGAACAAATATTGCAGGTACTATCTGCAATATAGAAGATAAAAACATCTCATAAATTAGTTAATTGATAAAAAAAAAATTATTTAATACCGCAGTATATGCGACCTCATTTTTATTACTCATAAATAATCGATCTAAATCATATGTTTCAATGCGCGTCATTATATTTAGAACTTACCAAAGTTGGAGAGAAAATATATAAGAGAGGAAGGGTGTAGGCAAGTAATAAATTCGTTATGGAATATTGTTTGAGATTTGTATATATTGGAGAAAAATAATATATATAATAATTGGATGACAAGTTTTGATTTCCCAATACTAATAATCGAAATGGGAGAGAATTATACAAAGTGTGATAAAAAGAGGATGACAAGAGGTCCCAATGGTTATTATTAACCGATTCAAAAGAAGGTTGCGAATTGGAATCGAATAAGTTTAAAGGCTTCATTTGATTTAAAAAAAAAAAACTATCTTATTTTTTATTCGTGACTGAATTGCGTAACTAATAAAATCGTAATATTAAAAAAGCGCAGCGGAATATGAATGAAGCGCAGTGAGATATATTAATAGGTTACTGATATTAATTGGAAAAAAATCAGCCAGATATCATTCATTAAATAAAACGGAGATAATAATCCTTGTGTATAGAAACGGAATCAAGGCTCCGTTTTAAGGAGTCTCGAAATAAATAAAGAATTTTTTTTTTTAAAAAAAAAAACTTTATAAATTAAAACAATTTACGTAAACAAAACTAAAAAAAAAATAATTTCGTAAATAAAAAAGAATTTTAGATAAGTTCTTTTTTTTTAAGTGAGAGAAAAAAAGAAAAAAAAAAAAAAAAAATTATAAAACACCCAATTTGTAGTAAGACATTCATGTTGAATGATGATCTATACAAACGTCACTATTACTAAATTTAGCGATCATCCCATTTTAGAGATTTATGATGATTAAATTTCCAAGTTTAGGTAAAATGCATTGCTAATTTTCAGATGTCAAAAACCTCCCTTTTTTTTTATAGGGGAATTTAAGCCAATTCGAAAATCGAAAATCAGTCAGCTGATTATTCATGGACTTGAATTTCAGGAATTTTGATTATTCCAAATTGGGACAAATTACAATAGAGGCAGTGTGGGAACAGTCATTGATGCACAACATTGTTTTAGATGTGAGTATTTTAGATTTAAAGATTTTACCAACCAATGAAAACAAATATAGATATCAATTGGCGTAAAAATTTAAAATCGGAAATTTCCGAAATTTCCTTTAAGCCTAGACTTCCAAAATTTTCCGAAATGATTTTATCATTCATAAAACGTTTTTTTTTTATTAATAATTTTTTTATCACCAAGATTTAATTCTCATGGTGTTCTCTTCGCCCATAACGTTCAAATGCATTTTAAATACTACATCCAACATTTGTGGTTCATGAGCAACAGCTGTTAACATACATTTCTTTTCAGCCATATCAAAATAGTCCTTAAGAATATGTTTATAATCCGGATGCGCACAATTATTAATTATTAATCTGGCTCTTTCAACCGGTGCGAGCCCACGAACATCCGCTAATCCGTGTTCTGTCACTAACACGTCAAGGTCATGTTCACTAATGATATACAATTAAAAAATAATTAATTCGATTTTTTATAAAAAAAAACAAAAAGGAGTTTGTCATTGATTCTCTTACGTTTGATCGATGTGAGAGCACATTGGGACCACACATGAAATGCCTATAGGATCTTTTTTGGTGGGTCTGGTAGATGGTGTATGCATAATGCTGAGTTTGGCGTTTCTCAGGAAATCATTTGAACCGCCAATACCATTCAACATTCTTGTTCCGCACACGTGTGTAGAATTCGCATGACCATAAATATCGAACTGTTGAACAAGATGAGAAAAATAATCATAAGAACGCGTAAGATGGGTCAGATTAAATAAATATAAATATATATATATATAACCTCAACGGGTGTATTCATTGCGATAGTGCCCAATCTTCGAATGATCTCGGGTGAATTAGAGACACTTTGACTTCTTAATACAAGACGATCTTTGAGATGATCCCACATTTCATAAAATCTCTTAAACCCATCCGGTGAAAATGAAACGCTAGTAGCCGAAGCAAAACTTAATTTATGATGTTCCCAAAAATCTAAGAATGTATCTTGAATAACTTCGGTCCATACTTCAACATCTGTAAAAGGACCATCCGCAAGACCTCCGATAATCGCATTAGCTATATTTCCTACTCCTGATTGTAAAGGAAGGAGGTGAATCGGTAATCTTCCCATTGTTACCTCATGTTCTAAGAATTCAAGAATATTGTTCGCTATCTTATGTGATATGTCATCCTGCGGTTCACTTTCCAATGTCCTGTCAAGTTTTGTGGATTCTATAATCGCAACAACTTTATCACTATCAATTGGAATATAAGGCTTTATTATAAAAAAAAAAAAAAAAAACCAAATTAGATATGAAAATAAAATTAGCGATATATATATATATATATATATTTTTTATCTTACCGTTCCGACACGATCGTCAACTCTTTGAATCAAATTTGGAAGTTTATATGGGGCGAATTTGCTCAAGGTAATGTCATGTAATCCTTCAAAATTAGGAAGGACTGTATTAACTTCTATTATTACATGAGCTGCTGACTGAACGATTTCTGGTGTTGCGCCAACGGATGCTCCAGGAATAATATGCCCTTCTTCAGTGATTGCCGTCGCTTCAACAATTACAACGTCAAGTTTTTCAATTACATTCCCCTTCTTCTCTAATGTGTAATATCCGGAAACCAAATCCTAAATATACGAAAAAAAGATTAGTATTCTACATAAAGATGATTGAATTCACGTGATATTTACCAACGGAAATTCCGAAAGGTGCTTATCGGCAAATAAAATACGATTCGTATTGATTCCTTTTTGTACGTGTTTGCCAACTTGATATGGATATCTACGAGATATCATATCATTCTAAATAGGAAGCAAAACTTGAGTATCGGGTCAAAAAAGTCCCCAGTGTTTCATACCAAATTTGAATTTTACCTTTGCCCATCTAGGATGGCGCGTGGCGCAGCAGACATCATGTTAGTTCCCGAAATTAAACTTTAAAAGGCAACTTGGTAACTCTTATATTTACCTATCTTCGGTTTCAGAAGCTGTACTAGCGCCAACATAAAGATCAAAACGAAGTTTTCCTTGTAAATTATTCTTTTCTACATACTCTGCTAATGCAATAGGCGTAACTTTCGGATAACCTACTCCCGTAAATCCAGACTTAATAATTAAAATTATCAGAAAGTTGATCAAAAAGTAAAATTTTTTTTAGGCTTTTGAAAAATCTAAAATAACTTACCCATCCTACTCGCATTCCGTTCTTAAAGAATCCACTATCGATAAGATCATCAACTGTTGTAAGTTTATTAAATAAACTTGGCCTACGAATGCGAGCCATAAGGCCATCCGTCATCAACTTTGATATGATCGTCATTGTTTTATGGCTTGATGAAAGAATAAAAACGTTTTAGCTTTTATATTTTTTCAAAATTCCATTTGTGTTTGCATCATATTCCATCAAAGGACAATTGGCTTCGATAAACATCATGATAACCAATCAAAAACTTGTTGTTTATGCAAGTTACATCATACCATTTAAATCTTGAAATCATCTTTCTTATTTAAGAGATTTCGTGTAACTTCATCATTCCCTTATTAGATATCTTATTTCACAAATATTCATTAAGAAAACTCGTAATTGTTGGAGCAAGAAACTATACGAATCCACGAGTTCAATTGAAATTTCAATTTGGATTCTGACAAGTAAGCGAAAAAAGGTGTTAAGAATCATTTCATGCTACTTTTGAGAATAGGAAAACCCGCAGTAAAATTTGTTACTATTTGAAAGGCATTACTAATCGATTTATGTTCGGTTAATACTTTTAGGTTCGGATTCTTACATGAGCTCTTCTACAATTAATTTATTTCGCGCATCGATAACATCACAGAAAAAGAAACAAGATAATAGAAAAAAAAACTTGAATAAGCTGAGAATGTTTGATTGATGTACAAGATAACAAAATTATTGGAAATTTTGGAGCAGAATTTATTTTGAAGAAATCAAGGTAAAAAGATTAGTGTTGTAATTCATTGTAATACTGTGAGATTAACCGACCGCTTATGAATTAATTCACGATAAGATAAACGATTTCTGTTCGCAAAATATCAACATCATTTTTATAGTCGCTTCTCCAAGTCATATAGAATAACGTGAGGATTAAAAATTCCATCGTAATCGATTCGATCAACAAAGGATGTGGAATAAAAAAACTCTTATTTTGCCATCAGTCTGATCATATGCTCGAATTTTGAATCAAAATTGTAAATAATTGATTCAAGTTCATTAGCTGTGGATAATGAAATAAATTAAAAATATTTTATTTTATTTTTATTTTTTTTTTTTTTTTTGAAAAGACAAATATAATAGAATATTTTTATTTCATACCGGTGGATACCCAGTATCCTCCCCTAATAATATGCTAACATCTAACCTTAACTAACCTTACTAACCCTAATTAACCCTAATTAACCCTACTTACCCTAACTAACCCTACCTAATCCTAACTAACCCTAACCTAGCTCTAACCGTGACAAATATATATGTGTGACAAATAAGATTTCGCCACTCAAACCATGAATAATTAGTAAAAACGGAAATTTGAGGGGGGTGATACGATGTGATACAAAGGGAGGATATCCGTGGATATAGATAGTTATAATAAACTGAATATAATAATTACAATTTTTATTTTTCCATTGAAATTTAATAATATTTATTAAGAAAAAAATTTGATAAATACCTTTTCCGGTATTTCAAGTCAAATAATTACTACTTAATAAAGTAACTAATAATGAAAATCATGTTTTAAAAAAATTAGATTATATCTACTATATTCACATTAAATAATACAGTCAAGAAAAATATATTAAAATTAAAAATAGGTTCATGAAACAATTTCTGAAAAATAAACTAATCTAATCAACTTTAATATGGTTACTTTTTATAATATTACTTTTTTTATAAGCATAAGTTAATAAATAATAAACTTATTTAAATATCAATTAAAAGTAATTATTTTACATTATTAATTAAGAACT